GCGGTTTCGTCGTAATGCGGGGCAATTGTAAAGCGAGGCACTACTGTATACCTATTTACAGTTACAGAACAAGTGCAGAGGGCCAATTAATTTTAAGAAGTATGTAAACCAACCAGTGAATGATACTGGTTCAAGGAACAAAGCAGCAGTTCCATTTTTAAGCAAATTGGGCCTTTTACTTAAATATATAATTTATACATATTGTATAATTTTGGAGAGAATTTGAGCAATTTGTGTGAAACATTTTTCACAACTACAGTATCAAGAGTGCCTGTGCATTGTTGGGAGTTTCTTGGCACCAATTTATATACTACCCAGAGTGGCCCTGACTGCCAGATGGGTGGTATATAAACCCAAACAATCAGTCAGTCATTCAATCAATCAGTCAATCAATGCTTTCTCTGAAATGCAAATAGCAGATTTGGAAAAGAAAGTATCTGAGGACTGTGGCAGAGAGAAGACAGAGATAAATTTTAGCACTGCACCTTCATAGTACTGTGGATTGTATTTGATTGTTTTTACAATCCACCCCACAAGACTGATTAGGGAGATATTTCTAGATTTTTATGCAATCATCTTTATGTGATCACTTACACCTGTTATTATCAAGTTTTACTTGGAAATACACCCAATTATTGTAAAAGTGTTAAGCTCAGAATAGCCTAAATGCTCTTATCTACTTATTCCTGTGTAACACAAATGGTGTAACTTTTGGAGAGGAATTGCTGTAAAGTAAGAAATTATTATAGGCATTACTTGTTGTATACATAGTTCTGAGACTCGGTGTCTATAGTGATTTCTTAACCTGAGACAATTTGCCTACAAAAATTATGCTATTTCCATAGTTATGCAAGAGCATTTTGGACATAGGATTGCAATTATAGTAAGTTTTATGATTATACATTTGTTATTCTTTCTCATATACAATATTTTGAAAGCTTGCCTAGACTTGTCTTTTGGATTTCTGTTGAAATGTGGTTTGAATGAAGAACATTGCACATTCCTTTCAACTCTTATTTCTTGTTTATAATGATGACTAATATTTACACTCAAAACATTGCTAGTAATTTGTAGTAATGCCATGTACTTCCATGTTGGTTTTACATTCTTTCCACACATTTCTGAAGTCCTACTGTATTTGGCTCAGCCTACTGAGCAAGGACAAATTTCCTATGCACTCTGTCACCAAAATTTTGAGTGTTTAGATATTTCGACACTTCTATACATAAACAGCTAAAATGAGCTAATACAGCACATTCAGAGAACCTAAAGATACTTTGACGAACTGTGTATTAGGCCAAAAACAAAAGGAAAATAAAAGATAAAGAAGACAACAAAGTTGTGGCACCTTAAAGACCAACTGCTATATTTAATGTGAGCTTTCATAGACAAATCTGCAAAAGAATTGTGGTTTCCCACCACCTTTAATACATATATAGTATCAGTGCTTTTTCCCTACTCTAAAGTGTGGAGGTCCTGATATGCAAACTAGAGGAGCTTTGATCTTTAGCTCTCCAACCCATGCTGCTTTATTCACTCTGGCAGAATTCTGTACTAACATACTTTGCCCCCCTGCTTTCCCACTATGACCTTGATCCAGACCTGTGCAGTATACATAAGGGAAAAAACACACCTTCCACTTGATTCAGTAGGTTCTCCCTCTGCCATGAAAATTAGTACAAATGCAGACACATAAATTCAGAGTAGGACCAATATTGGGGGCATAGAGTTCAGGCTCTTATACCTTTCTCTTAGTGTCATCTTCTGGATTAGGTCCCCCTTTTTCTTATACCTCTGGATAAGAAAAAGTACTGACATGGGTGCATGGTACAGATGAATGCTAACATTCAGGTTGATCCTGAATTCTCTTAGATTGAAAGGATGCAGTCATGTCATCATCTTCTGGTTACTGCACAATGGTGGAGGGCGGGGTTTAATTTAACTGGGGCTTATTTTTGGGGTAAGGCTTATATTACGAACATCCTGAAAAATCGTACTAGGGCTTATTTTTGGGGAAACAGGGTAGTAATGTCTCTTCAATGACTAAATATTTCTACACACACACATCATTCTTTGAACATTAAAAAAATACCCTGGCTTGTGAGAAAATATGGAAAACCATCTTCCAGATACCTGGCTTTTAATTTTCTGGGATTTATTTTAAATAAATGTATGTTGAAAAATGTGCCATTAGATTGGAAATATGGTAGTAGTACAGCAGCAAATATTGTCACTGCCAGCCTCTAAATAGTATTAATGTAGATCCGCAAGACTGAACAGATTCATTGCAGACAATATTTTCTTTTCATGTCTTCTGTCTGCTCAGACAAAATTCCTCTTTTAATTGAAAGTGGGTTAAGCAAGCTATGTGTGGAGTTGTTGGACTAGATTTGGTTATCCTTGTGTCTTCTCCAAATGATGACCTTATGAACAGTATCCTGGATCTCATAGCAATGCTTTCTTTCTTTTTTTAAAGTGCCTTGCCAATGCATTTATCCTTAGAATGGTTTCCATGAATAATACATCATGATGTAATCATTTAAAGACTGTATCCTCATGAGTACATCATAAAATGTCATCCAGTGATCATCAGCTCCAAGTGTATTTGATTTGTATGCTTTTCTCGATCACTATCAGTGCCAGTAAAATATGTAGGCTAATGACAAAAAGCTGTTACGTTTTTGAAATTTGGAAGCTCTTCTCTGGAATTGATGAGAATACTGTAAGTCTTGTCTGACAAAATATTTTGTTAACAAAATGACTACCTTGCTCAGGCAAACTTGCCAGTGAAAGAGTGTTACTGTTGTGAAGGCTGGTGTTGTCTATTGATGTAGAGGATGCAGTTTCTTAATATTATTCTGGGCAGAAAATCTCTAGAAAAAAACAGGAAGTCTTGCAAAAAGTTTTGAGTGAGTAGTATTCATATTTAATTTGTTTTCTATTTAGTGTTCTGAATCTAAATTTCTTAAATCTGATTCTTTTCCATGCACTTTATGCAAGGCTCTTCTGAAGTCCTATCAAACACAATCTAAAGAGTCACGTTGATTTTACTTTCAGAAATCATATAACATGATGATTAAAGAAAAGGTTGAATTACAAAATTTTATAGTCCATGTAGAAGTAATGACACTTGTTTTATCTTTAGAAAGGAAAATAAAGTCTCTCTCCAACTGTACTTAAGTGGGATGTGGTGGTGCTGTGGGTTAAACCACAGAAGCCTCTGTGCTGCAAGGTCAGAAGACCACCAGTTGTAAGATCAAATCCACGGGACGGAGTGAGCTCCCATCGCTTGTCCCAGCTCCTGCCAACCTGGCAGTTCGAAAGCATGCAAATGTGAGTACATAAATAGGTACCACCAAGGTGGGAAGGTAACAGCATTTCATGTTTAGTCGCGCTGGCCACGTGACCACGGAAACTATCTACGGACAAATGCTGGCTCTATGGCTTGTGGATTGAGATAAGCACCACACTCCAGAGTCGGACACAACTGGACTAAATGTCAACTGTACTTACAACAAGATCTAGAAATAAATGTTTATTTTGTATATCACCCTAAAGAAACATTTCCCCAGTTGAGCATGATACTAGTTTTGACTAATTTGCACCACATCCAGCAAGGAGACAATGTATCACATCAGAATTGTCTGATTTTGCCAATTGTTATAAGTACATATTTTGTAATGTTTTACATAGTAGAATTCAGAACAAAACAGTGACAGATACGTTCTCCCAAGATACTGCACTCCTTGCATATGCTTTTTTTCTTTTTAAGCTGCAATTCATTTTTCTTTGGAATTTGGTGTACAGAAGATATTTTTCATCAGATTGTAGTATACTGCATTATACGATTGTGCAGTCTAATATCTATGAATGGGTACAGTTTTAAATTATTTGTATACATTAATCTTGTAGTACTTCATTCAGTCTCATCTATGTTTGGTATGTTGTTGGATTATGTAGGTCAGCTCTTTTTTCCAGTGTCCACACGTGGATGTCACTGGAGCAGACGAATTTGTTCCAACCTTAACATTTTTGAATCTGTGTCAGTGGGATTCTGCTACTTTGGTACAGATTGGAAGGCTCCAGTTTAATTGATCCCCCCTGGGTGTGATTGCTTGGAATAGACTAAGCTACAGCCGTGCAGCTCCTTCTGGTGTCAATTTCCAATATTCTAACGTATCTTAAATTGAACACTTCCATAATTGGGGAAATGATTTTTTTAAACACCGGCTAGATCATAGCTGAAGCGATGATGCACTTCATTCAAAAAATTGTTTAAATTTTTTTTGCCTGTCTCTGTATTGCCATTCGAAACCGCGGTTATGTGCCGTTTCTCAATTGGCAATACACAGATAGGCATGGACATTTTTTAAAAATGTTAATGAAATGAGCTAGGTAAAGGTAAAGGTTCCCCTTGACATTTAGTCCAGTCATGTCTGACTCTAGGGCACGGTGCTCATCCCTGTTTCCAACCCACAGAGCCAGCGTTTGTCCGAAGACAGTTTCTGTGGTCACATGGCCAGCGGGACTAGACAAGGAACTCTGTTACCTTCCCACCATGGCGGTACCTATTTGTCTACTCGTATTTTTACATGCTTTCAAACTGCTAGGTTGGCAGGAGCTGGGACAAGTGATGAAAGCTCACTCCGTCGTGTGGATTTGATCTTACGACTGGTGGTCTTCTGACCTTGCAGCACAGAGGCTTCTGTAGTTTAACCCGCAGCGCCACCACATCCCTTCTGATGATCTAGAAGACATTAAAAAAGTCTCACTTCCCCATACAGATGATCGGAAAAGTGCTTAGTTGACAGCGGATTGGGCTACAAAGAATCGTTAGCCGTTCAGACGAGAAGTGCATGCCAAATGGCAGATTGCTCCTCTCCAACCTCAACCAGCCCTTTATAGCCCAAACCAGCCTGCACCAAAACAGCAGTCTGGACAGGTCGTCTGCCACAGTTTTTGCCACTTAAAATAACTGACTTGTTTTTTCTGTTTCTTAGGACACACGGGACGGTTACTCAAATCCTTATGTTTCATGAGTCTGACATTTCTGCTTCTGCACATCATCTTTCAAATCACAATAAACAGTTTGGAAGCTGGTAACACTATTGAACCTGATTATCACTGTGAGTATCACTCTTTTTAAACATTTAACATTCTGTGTAGTTTTTAGTATTGGAAACACACTATCAGTATAATCAATAATGGGCTTGTTGTAATAGTTCCTATGACTTGTGTTTGTTTAGATTCTGAAGAAGTGCTTTCTTGGATATTATATTTATGTGATTTATAAAATAACACCAAACCTCTCAAGCTATCTCTCCACCATCCCATATACTTTTTATAGATAATATAGTATTTCTTTATACTTTTGGATTAGTCCCTGTCCTAAACCCTTGATGTCACATCATTCCATCAACCACATTCCCTTACTTATAACAGGAATGAGAAGGATGGAGGGGAGGGCTTTGAGCCCAATTTGAAAGGGAATACTCCTAGCATGCTATTGTATTCCTCTTGTGATATCCAAGAGCATTCACCATGTAAGCTCTTCTTTTGGTTCCATTATTTATGTGGGCTTCTTTCTAGAGGTTTTTAGTATACTACTGTGAAGGCAGTATCAGTGAGTGTGTTAGAGCAGTGGTCCCCAACATTTTCCCAACTACGGATCAGTTGGGGGTGTGTGCTCGCAGGGGGCGTAACTCTCTCACACACATGCGCACATCATGCTGAGGGGTGCTTGCGTGCATGTGGATAGCACATTCACAGGGGGCGGAATGCGCTTGCACACATGTGTGTGACAGGGCTTGTGGTGCCCCCCACTCGCATGCCTGTGCACATCGTGCACAAGGGCAGAACCCGCTCACGTGCATGTGTGCGATGGAGCTTGTGGGGGGGCACTTGTGGAGGTTAGGAGATCTGTGTCCACAGCCTGTTCCTGGATAGGCTGTGGACCAGGGGTTGGGGACCTCTGTGTTAGAGCACTGGGGCTTGGGTTCCCTCTAACATATGAGGGAGGAATGCCAGGCAGTGCATAGACGTGTCACTCATGCTTTGTGGTACTTACTGCTGGTAATTACAACAATTCTGAGACTGTTAACTTGCTTCACCCACTGAGTAAATTACCAACATCTATGAAAATAAAAGAGAATGTCTGTCAGAGCTGTGGATCCCAAGGACATGAATTCTAGCCATTTCAAACTTGCAGGCCTTAAAGCAACATTCTCTTTAAGCTGCACCACATGCACGCAAAACTCTATTGGAACTGCGCACTGGCAGCCAGTGTTGATGCCCATTATGCTCTGGTTTCGGATGAAACCCTTTCCCCTGCGCACAAGGTGAGGCTCCCACACAGTGGGGCCAAAACTTAATGAGAACTTTGTCTTAAAATATGTATCTCAGGATTATTAGGATTTTTTTAAAAAAAGTAGTAATCATAATATGAATCTTTTATGAACTTGAAGCCTTGCATTCTCATAAGAGATGATAGCAACATTTCTACTGTAGGTTAGCAGACGTCTTTGGTTTATAATCAGTAGTCAATATTCTTTGAAGCCTTAATCAGCAGAGCTTGGAACATTGGGTTTGAAAATTAATTTGTGGATGTTAGACATTAGATGTAGGGAGATCACTTTACTGTTACCTTTGGAAGGTGGAATAGTTTAAATTGATTATTAGTAATAATTAGTACTAATTAGGGTTCATATCCCTGCTTGGCCATGGAAACTCACTGGGAACCACTAAAACCACTCCTTAAATATCTCACCTTGAAAATCTACTGAGTTCCAGCTTGATGTCACAAAACACATACACACTAATTAAGTTGTTAATTAAATTGTTATTTTAGAAATAAGTATTCGGATTTACTGAGAATGCATGTGATTGACACATTTGTTACTGGCTCCTTCAGAAATACTGTCCTAGCCCTTTTAACATTGCTTTCCCCAGCCTGGCACTTTTTTGCCAAAAGGACTGCAATTCATATAGTACAGGGCATAGTGTGGTTCAATACAACTTGGATACTGGTAGGTTAGGGAAGTCTGTGTGTCACGTTCCCAGGGGGTTTCAATGGGCAACAGTCCAGTAAACCAGTCCAATATCAGAAGTCCAGAAGATGCAAAGCAGATACCAAAACGCCAAAGCCAAAACACAAAGCATAGTCAGCAGTCAGAGTCCAAAGCCAGGGGTCCAGAGAACAAGGTCCAGGATAAGCAGGAGCATGAATGTGGGCCAAAGTGTTTGACTAGTTGCTTCCACAAACTTGCAAGCCTGTGGGTGCAGATTTTATAGCAACAACAGCCATCTAAACACCTCATCCTGCTAATACTCAGGGCTGGTCGACCTGATGTTCCTATGGGAAGCATTCATGCGGGCTTCGGATCTTCGTGTCATGAGTCCTTGCCGAAGCTTCTCCCTTACCCTGGCTACTGGGGGGAGGAGAATCTGGTGGTGATTCAGCTACCTGCGATTCTGATTGCCCAGCTTTCTCCTCAGCTGACAGATCTTCTTCGGCAGAACTCATGACACTGTGTTAAAACAAGGGATCTGATATTACAGCTGTTACTCTGTCACACTTCTGCAACAATCTAGTTTTTCTTCTTTGCCCTTCCATCGCCATAAACCACTGCTTCCTAACTTGAGGGTTGTGACTCCCAAGGGAGCCACAAAGGGTTTTCTGGGAGGTCATGGGTCGCCTTATATGTGTTGTAGGCAAGGTTCTGTGTAAGATGTGAGTCTGTGCGCATGTGACTCTGTTCCCCCTCCATGCCGGGCTCTTCCTCCGCAGTTGCAACAGAACCCTGTGCGGGGGGCAGAGTTACACACGCATGGGGCAGAGCCCCCCCCAGTGGGGCTGAAAATTCGAGGGAACGTTGGTTGTGGCCATTGTTAAATAATTACTTCCTTGACCTTCTGGAGCCAGATATTAAACTTCGTCTGTATGTATGAGAAACAAGCCCTTTGGGTGGGAGTGAGGAAGAAAGAAGCTTCTACTTTCTGAGAAGAGATTACTTCATTAAAAATTCCATTTTATACAAATATGGCAGAGGGGGTCATAGGTTACTTGGCTATTATAAAATGGGGGCACGTCTTGAAAAAGGTTGGGAATCACTGCTGTAGACAAACTTGTTTCTCCATATCTTACCTACACTAGTCTGGAAATAGAAACTGTATTTTCATAAAATGTAAAAATACCCCCCAAAACTAGATACCTTCTCTCCTATTTGACTCAAGTCTCAATTTTGCACTGTAAGCCTGATGATATAAAGTGAAACTGCCATGCTAGCATTTTAGATTTACATTCTTCACATATACTGTGTTCATTTGTATTGGCCAGAATCCTATTGAGGTTATATCTGGATAGCTTAGCTTGTTCAGTTGACATGGCATACAGCAGCAAACACCTGTGCCAACTTCTTCACTTACAGCAATTCACTGATGAGATTTACACTAATTGTGTTATGCAGGCAGGGGTAAAGAGTATTTCTTCTTCCCATTTGGTCCTTATTTTAAAGTTTGGGCTAGTTGGATGCTGCAAAGGAAGGAATATGCCAGTCCCCTTTGGCATTTTCTTTCAAAATAACATTTTAAATGTTTTAAAATGATCTAATTATGAATTAAAATGAACAAATATTCATATAATTATTTTCACTGAAGAAACCACGTAATGGCGAAGTCATATTCTAAAATGCACCTGCACTCAGCATATGCACTGAGGCAGTACAGTATCTTCCTTATGATCACACATCTTGATATCTTTTTTTTTCTATGCTCAATTCATCTTTTGCATCAAACAACTAATCTGACCAGATGTGGAAAGGATACTTTGGAAACCGAACAATTTATTAGCCAGAGTGTACAGAAGAAATTGGCTTACTGGGAAGGTTGATGCATAGCAATGACTAGCAATGGTTAACGACATAGAACCTTGATTGTCTTACAAGGAAACAGTTAAATATTGGGACATTGGCATTGTATCCTGTTAACTGTGAAAGGTCACACTGTAAAGACAGAATTGAACATTCAGCTTTTTATTAAGAAATACAAGTAGTTACTTTACAATCAGGAGAAGAACAAGGAACTCTTGAAAACACTCAGGATCCAGACATTTTAAAAAACTCTATAGGATTTTGATTCTACAAATTGCATTGGTGAATGCATTTCATTGACTGAACCTTCAGTTGGCTAAGACAATCTGTAGAAAAACTATGGTTGGCAATAGATTTTCTACCTTCTAGATTGTGTCACCTGCATAAAAGGAAAGAAACATTAAGGCAGCTGTTCCCTTCTATGTGTTAAAAAGTGGACAAAAGACAGTGCTGACAGGACAGGAGAATTAGAAATCAATCGTTGTCTGTTTGCAACACTTTGGCGGACTACAATAGAACACTAGTGAAGGAATGTGTTCAAGCTACACTTTTAATTTCACAGTTTTTCTCCTGGTCTTGGAATCGATACCTTGATTTAATTGAATTTATGTTGGTCTTATTTTCAAAATGATTGATTAATCTCTCTTATAACAAAAAGTAATGTATTTTATTTAATTAATATTATCTGTTTCTAAGCTTTGAGAATGGTGGAAGCAGACTAAGAGATACATGTATATGGCTATCCATCCTGGCCTACAGTGGAGGAGCCCCCCCCCCATAGAAACAGAATGATAGACCCCTCCCTCAGAGGGTTGTAGGAACATACAATTTCAGGGAGTGTAGCTGTGGCTTCAACTGTGGCATAACTGACCAGCTTCGGCAGCTGCTTAACTTTGCATCAAGCTTTGTTGCTTCAGACTTTGGGCTGGCTGTTGAGGCACTTATAAAACCTATGGTTTGTATGCTAGTTATAAATTATGAACCTTGTGTTTACATTTTGTTGTGTAAATTGGAGAAGAATCACTTGGTCATGTGTGCTGAACTGGTTACCCATACCTTATTAGCTTGAACTGAAACTAAACCAGAACAACTTCCATTTCCTGAAAGAAAACAAATAAAAATCCTGAATTATTTCTTTAATGGCACAGAAAATTATTCTTTGGTTTACAGCTCCTAGTGGTCATACGTGCTGTGGAGTTCTGTGAGTTATAGTTTTAAAAAATAACTTTTCCAATTCTGCTTGACTCTTTGCTTCCTTA